AATGAAGTGTGCAATTAGCATCCAGATTTTGTTTTGTTCTGTTTTGTTTGTTTTTAGGCATTTCTCATAGGGCATATGCACCTGCTGAAGAGAGACAGTTGGGGGAAGTAGGAAATCGCAACTCCATGGGGATGACCACACTGCAATCCATTTTCTTGGGCACACACCTGCATGTGCCCTTGTGATTTTTAAGCTTCCAGGTCTGATGCTCAAACCACCGTGGTCAGCCATGAGCGAATCCAGTGTCATATGCACCATGCCACCCTCAGATTGTAGGTTTTAATACCTTTCTTCACTAAAAGGAATCAGGGTTCCTTGGAGCAGGGGTTGGGTGAGGTGGGTTGGTGTACAAAATGAGTGTACACAGTCTTGTAGTACCAGAAAGTAAGGAATGATCAAATAAATAAATTATGAGGTTACGTCCAAAAGTTCATGGATAAGTGGAGTGAATTAAAGTATGAATCCCAGAACACTTTGAGCTACCACAATATGATTGTATTATAAGCCAAAAGCCATGAGTCTGTACTAATATGAATGATTAAGTAAATACATAAATGGGAAAGAATGGACAAATCTGTGCAAAAGAATTCTAGGTAATTTATGTATTTAGTTTCCTAAGAACTGGAATGTAACTCCCCACTTTATGCAAACTCCTTCCAAGGAGTTTGGTGTGGAAAAAGAACAAATAGGAATAGTGTTCAGAGGAGAAACTTCACAAACACTACCTCAAATTAATGAATGGTGTGATAGTTAAAGCACTATATTTCACATGCCTGCTCCACAGTTTGAGCCCTAGGGGCCCCCCCCCCCCCAGCAGCTTGAGAGACATGTCAGATGCATGTGCCTATGTGTCTAAAATTCTGTGAGGAGAATGGAGAAGGGGGCATTGTGGTGTGGACATGCCCCTCCACCCACTCCAGGTCACTTTGTTTCTCTCCAGTGAGCATGTACACCTAAAAAGAAAAGAGTAACATAATCAAAGTGTCATTTAACCTTGATATGGTATGATAGCAGTAGCACTTTATCTCTTTTGATCTTTCTCCTAAAAATCCCTGACCCTAGGCAAAATGTAAGGGAACCATTACACAAAACTCCCTTGAAGAGCATTTTACAAAATGACCTGACTGAGAATTCAAAATTGTCAAGGTCACCAAAAACAAGCAAAGTCAGAAATTGACATAGCAAAGAGGAGACACTAAGGAGACAGGATGACTAAATATCATGGTATTCTAGACAGTATCCTGGCACAAAAAAGACATTAGGTAGAAACTAAGGAAATCTGAGTAAAATAAGGATTTCTGTTCATGAAAGTGCATCAGTATCAGTTCATTAATTGTGACATGCATTAGTATTATGGTGTAAGAGTTTGAGTATTATTTGATGGATGTATAGGAACTCTGCAATTCTCCCATCTTCTCTATAACTCAACTCCTCTAAAATAAGTTCATTAAGAGTTAAAAAGAAAAGCTGTGTCTGGGACCAGCAATGGCCATGTCGCCGGACTCCTGTGTGGTTGACCGCAGTTTGAAACCCAGACCCAGTGGCTTAAACTCACACCAGGCGCCTGTGTGCGCATGCCTACCCAAGTTCTCAAGAGTAGAAGGGATTTGCGGTGTGGCCATCCCCCTGGGGGGTGATTTCTTGCTTTCTTTCTCTCTGTCTCTGGCAAGCGCAGGTGCCCTATAGCAAAAAACAAAACAAAACAAAAAAACAAAAAAAAAAAACCTTGAAAAAGAAAAGTTGTGTCTAATTAGGTGAAAATACATGTTTGCACAATAGTCACTTTGTTCATTTTAAATTCCTTAAGCACTACTTTAATGAGTAAGAGAATAGATTCTCATATTGGTGTTAACTAAAATACTACAAAACACTTTAATACTGCATGTGTTCATTGTCTGGCACTGTACTCCTTTCTTGGGATTCTGTAGTAAGCAATAGCAGTTATGTCTGGTTTTTAAGAAGTTTATAGTAATCTTACAAAAAAATTTTTGAGAGATTTTTTGCTATAGGGCGCGTGCGCTCTCCAGATAGAGGCAGAAAGTGAGAAATCGCCCCCCAGAGGAGATGGCCATGCCGCAATCCCTTCTTCATTCTCCTCTCGGGATCTTGGGCACACACATACATGAGCCTAGCGTGAGTTTAAGCCACAGAGTCCAGGACTCGAATCGTAGTTGGCTACATGGGAATCCAGCGACATAGTCATTGTGCAAACTGTTGGTCCTCGGTAATCTTACAAATTTAGAATTGATAGTACTGTGAAGCAGATCTGAGAGACCTCTGAAAAGAAAAATATATAGGAAGCTATACCTGAATCATTAATCAGGAGCTGACTAGGCAAAGGCGGCAAAATAGATAACCCAAGCGAGTCCAGAAGATTTGTCAAATCTTAGACCAGGTATTTAGCTGATTTTCAGTGTGCTCAATTGTATAAATACCGTAATAAGAGCTTCCTATCTTACCTCAAGAGGTTGTGAGGAGCATATGTTTGGAAATTCAGAAATTAAAAACTTCTAAACAAATAGAAGGTATTTAAAAATTATTAGTTCTACTTGTAAAGTACAATTCCTATGCAAAGAGTGGTGTTCAAATACAGTATAGACCTTTTTGCTTTAGGCAACTAAACTAAATAAAAGGCGTGCCTTTATAGATGGCTTCTGCTTTTTATTCCAATTTTAGTATATGTGCTGCCGAAGCGAGCACTCTTGCTTTTTATTCTTGTAGATAAATTGTGGTCACATGTAAATTAGACTTAATTTCTTAGTTGAGGTAGGTTTATGAAAAACCTTTTTGGTATTTTTAAATTTTCTTAGAGAAAGGGAACTCATTATGTCCCATTGTTCTCCTAGTCATATATTCTGCCCTGAACAATGCTACAGTATTTTCTTGAACCTATCTACCTCAAGTTATCTTTAAGTCAATTCCCTTCCTAGCCTCTAAGACCTAACAGAGTCCTAGTCATCCTCTAAAGATGTGGTTCTTGGCCCATCCAAGGTAGCACATGCAGTAGGAAGCATATTGATATATAGTGCTGGTAGCCAATTGACCAACCACAGCCTTAGATCCGCAGTGGACTTGTAGCAAGCCAGACACAATCATTCAGTCACTCTAGTCTCCCAACTAGATGGAGAGCTGAGGGAATCAGGGTCTCCTCATCTTGGTAAGATAAATAAACTTTAGAAAAGAAATAGTGAAAATCTTGCAACCTTCTCCACCATTTCCTGATATTGGCTATAACTAGTAACTAGAGACACTTGCTTATTTTTATACCTTGTGGGTGGTAGTCTGCTACTTGTGTCCAATGGTAAAGATTGCTAACCATCCTGCAATACACAGGGCAGCACCCAAGAACAATAATGATCAGTAGTACAGAGATTGGGAAATTCTCCAAAGGTATCTTAACATGGCCAACTTCTTCATTATGTCTTAACTGATTTCTTAGGCCCTGAGAATGGAGCCAGAGATGAAAACAACCCTAAACAAGTCTTGGGATCTTTTTTAAGCTTAAATTTAAACCAGAAGTTATGAATTCTAATGACTTATAACCAGAAGTAATTGCACGATTTGTTAATAGTATAAAAACTTGTTTTTTCCTCCTACATTTATGCTATTTGTAAGTGACTAGTTCATGGTCTTAAGTTACTTGAAATAACTAAACAGGAATTCATACTTGGTGTTCTACGTTTATAAATTGTTTCATACTTATTTCTGTGTCATTTTTATTTATTAAATGTTATTTGATTGGTAGTTGAACTATTCTTAGAGTTATTTGCTTAATTAGATGTGAAAAATCTTGGTTCAGTAATTAATGATGAAGTTTCTAGCATGAAAGAATGTTCTTTAGGATAGATAAAATACCTTAAACCAAATGATTACATAGAGCAATGAATCACAGTTAAACTTGGAGATGACAGCTATGTATATTGAGTTAGTTTTTAACTTAATGGAAGTTTAAATTGATTGTCTTTAAGTCTTTTTCTCCAAGCTGCCTACCAAGTTCTTAATTACTACTTTCATAAAGTCTTATCAAGACCTTTACACATTCTCCTGTCTTACTAATCTTAACCATTTTTAAGATCAATGACTTCAAGCTGGAGTATGTCATTTCAAGTCCAGAGTATAAACATGGATTCTAGAAATACAGTCATGCACAGTATTAATTCTAGAAATACAGTCATGCACAGTATTAATCGTGCTTCAGTAAAAGGCAGTCCACAAGACCACATATATGATGGTGGCCCATAAGAAGCATATAGGATATACCATGTACCCTAGGGATATAATTGTTGAACCATCTACGTTTTACACCATGTTGTTTACATGATGAAATCACCTAACTTGATCCCAAAAAGTAGGAATGTGTAGAAATTTTGCAATTAAGAAGTAAATGGTGGCGGGAACCAGCAGTTAGTGTAATGGCTATGTCGCTGGACTCCCACGTAGTCGACCGCAGTTCATGTCCCGGACCAGGTGGCTTAAAACTCACGCCGGGTGCGTGTGCGTGCGTGCCCAAGATCCCGAGAGGAGAATGGAGGAGAAGGGATTGCGGTGTGACCCTCACACCCGGGGGGAGATTTCTCGCTGTCTGGCAAGTGCACGCGCCCTATAGCAAAAAACCTCTCCAAAAAAAAAAAGTAAATGGTGGAGACCAGATACTGGCATATTAGTAAACTACAATGATCTGAGAGGCTGACCCATAGGTGGGGAGGTTCTAGGTTTGCATCCATAGACCTTGCTGAGTAAAGCTGGTAAGAGTATGTCCTTGATTCAAGGCTAGTTGGAGCTGGGGGTGGATTGCAGCATGAAGACTGTTGAGGATGCTGTCCATCTTTATGACTGAAGATATAAGGCATTCCCAGGGATTGCATTGTGGTCATCCCCCCTAGGGGTAGGGAGGTACCTCCTCACTGCCTACCTTACCCCACATAAACACATGTATCCTATAGCAAAGCTTTAAGTAGATAAATGAATGTATGTATGTATGTTATTGTTCTTTTTTGTAGGTTGTAAAGAAGAAAGTTCCATTCTTCCTGTCAAAATGAAGGGTGATTTTAATTGTAAACATGTTCATTTGGAACTTAAACTGGTAAAACCTGATGACAATGGAAGACAAGATTCCTACACTTGTGCATATTCAGAAGATTCTTGTAAAGACTGCATTACAGACTATGAAAGGTTATCATATATTGGGTCACCAATTGTGAGCCCTATAATTGCAAAATTTGACACAGAAAGCAAGCCTTTGCATAACAAGGAAAATCAACATGTGCAGCAAACACTTAATAGGTCAAATGAAATAGAACTAGAGACCAGTAGACTTTATGAAGACAGTGGCTATTCCTCATTTTCTCAGCAAAGCGGTTTCCGTGAACATGAAGAAAATAGCCTTCCCCTGGAGGAGAATTTCAGTCCACAACCCTTCTTGCTTCAGTCACAAAGCCCAGAGCAATATCCCAATAAAAATTTGCTGCCAGTTCTTCATTTTGAAAAAGTGGTTTGTTCAACATTAAAGAAGAATGCCAAACGAAATCCTAAAATAGATCGAGAGATGCTAAAGGAGATTATATCTTTATCTAGTGGAAATTTTAAACTACAGAATATAATTGGCAGGAAAATGGGACTAGAATGTGTAGATATTCTTGGTGAACTCTTCCAAAGAGGACTCAGACATCTCTTAGCAAATATTTTGGCACAACTCAGCGATATGGACTTAATCAAGTAAGTGTTACTGCTTTAAAAAGTATTATATTAGGATCTTTGTTTCTTTTAGTTCTGAAATTCCTATTATATAAGTTACATCTTTGGGGCTTAGCCACAGAATAACAGTCCAATTCTAATCTTTGAGTCCTAGGCATTATGACATATGAAATAATTTCATTTTAATTAACGCCACTTCTTTGATACAGGGCTGTTTTAAGCTGGACAACGATGACTATACAGAAACCCATAAATAGAAATCTAGTTATGACAATTCATTAGAAACCTTACACTGACTATCCTTTCTTCCTGCTTCC